GGTTAGGTTGGGAGTCTGGATATTGACCAAGATTATAAAAGCGAGTTGCATTGTTACTTCAAACATGACTCACAAAGCAACTGATTGAAATGGATGTGTCAAAGGCACTCATTCAAAGTTGTTTGCTGTATGATTTTAAAGTGGGCCTGTCAGCAGCAGAATCAAGTCGCGAAATTTGCCAGGCCTTTGGGGATGATGAACTGCTAGGCAATGGTTGCAGAAGTTTAGGTCAGGGAATATATCTCTTACTGATGCACCACACATCGGTAGGCCACAAGTGCTGGACGATGAGGCCCTGAGAGCAGCCATAGAGAGTGACAGCAGCCAAACATGTGATGAGCTTGCTGCACACTTCCAGGTATCTGATAAAATGATCAGACTCCATTTGCACCACATAGGAAAGGCATACAAGGTGAGCAAGTCACTCACTGTCCGATGCAAACAAGCAACAACATGTCGCTGCCTGTTTGTCATTGCTTACTTGGCACCGCAATGCATCCATATTTGATCGAGTACTCATTAGCAATGAAAAGTGGGTCCAGTATGACACACCCAGGCATTCCACGCACTGGGTGTGACCATGCGACCCTCTGCCTCACACTGCAAGACCTTCTCTCCAACCATGCAAGATCATGCTCTATATCTGGTGGACTAGCTGCCAATTGGTGCACTATTGAGCTCCTGCCAGTGGGCCAAATAATCATGGCAGAATTCACAGCAGTTGGAACATGTGCATCAGGCACTGATGCATAAAGAACCAGCATTGGTCAATTGTAAGGGCGTACTCCTCCTATATGACAATGCGAGGCCGCATGTGGCTTGGAAGGCCAGGGAAACCATTCAGCGACTGGGCTGGGAGACAATACCCCATCTACCATTCTCCCCAGACCTCGCACTAGCAGACTACCACCTTTTCCATTCCCTGAACAACCATCTTTGTGGGAAATCCTTTAACAACCGGCCAGACCTCGAAAAGGCCCTCCCAAACTTCTTTGTGTCCAAGACTCCTGAGACTCTCCGCATCCAAGACTCCACAATGGCATTGCACAGCTAGCTACTCATTGACAAAAGGCACTGGATGCCGGTGATTACTTTGATGATTAGTAGTGGTTATTATTTGTTTTATGACTTTTTCTTTTTGACTGTCCAAAACGGCAAGAACGTTTTTGGTTTCTTTGTACATATTGGAACTTTATAAGTGAGAAAAAGAAATTACTTGTGAACTGTTAACATACTGAAAACTTTTATACATTTATTTATCGATATAAGAAAATTTGTACATAAAGGTATACAATTTTTTTATTTACAGATGGAAAAAAAATTCCATCTGTAAATAAATATATTAAAGGACATACCTATTTTACATATCTCCTGACCTCCTCCTTTACTTCATAGTTTAAAAAAAAATATAAAATGTAATTTCATGTAACATTTTGCAATTTTTATGATAAGTACTAGTTTGTTTGGATTTGTTATGTTACTGTTGGATTTGCTTAAATTCAACCAATGCATAATGATATTTGAATATTCTGCATATTACTGCACATTATACTGCAAACTTATATTAGTATACTTTTATGTAACTTAGTAATATTACTGCACACTTATATTAATATAGCTTTATCTAAAGTAATCATAAAATATGCTAAATAAATAAATAATCTTAAATAAAGCTTATTTATTGTGTATTCATATGTATTTAAGTACTTTGTTATTTTCCAGAATAGATAATTCTGTGAAAACAGATGCTAGAACTGAGAGGCAGTTTGAGGAGAACTCCAGATGTATAGTACTATTAAAAGTCTGTTGGGTTTTATTTTTTAACAGATTGACTACATTTAATATTTGCTCAACAACTCGACTAGATTTTGTTCCAAGAAAATATATTTTTAAGACCCTAGGTTTGATTTTCCAAATGTTTTCATAGTGCCTTTTCGTGGCTTTAATGCAAATAGGAAGCAGTGAAAAGTTGTGACCTAGTCAGACTTACATGCTGTTAATTTTACAGAGGCAGTCATTTTCAGACTATGGTCTGAAAGTGATTTTGTAATTTATGACATTCAGCTTGTGTTACAGAGAATTCCAGCATTTATGCCTCAGTTCTCATCAAGTTATTTTTTAATAGTTTTTTTTTTTTTTTTTTTAATCTTTGAAAATCTTTATCACCTGAAATTCTAATGAAGAATGAAATATTCCTCTTCATCTAACCTGATTTAGAAATTCTTACAACATCAAAATATGAAAAAAATAATCTAGAATTATGTATTAATTTAACATTCATCTTTATCAATTATCACTTATTGAAATATAGTGATTTTTTTCATTAACAGGTTTATTTTATTTAAAAGTTAAAATTAAAATCAATTAACCCCCAATTAACCTGGTTTGCCTGTACAGTCTACAGGTTACTAATATTTGGCAACATTTGATTTTCCTGTACGCTGTACGTGCAACAATATTTTCTCCTTTCTTGTTTTGATTTGCCCGTATTTTTAATTGACTGAGAGAGAGTCTTTAGTATTAACATATTTCAACAGATGGCGCAGCTTGTCCATGTCATTGAAAAGTATTCAAACTGATTTTTTCCTTTGTTACCGAAGTCTGAAATACTTGGCATTGTTTGTTCTTGATATTTTTGTTGTATAGCTTCCTGGTTGTGAATTCAAAGCGTCTCAGTTATGGATGACATAATTGATGACAAAACTTTATTGTTTGATGTTTCTGATGATTCTGATACAAATTCAGAACTGTCTTGTAATATTCTGGATTATTCTTCAGCTGACTCGTGTAGTGCATTCAGCTCTGATGAAGATTTGATTTCTGCTAGAAATTTTATCGATACTGATGTGGAAAATCCACCTCCTCCGTGTCCCCAGTTTAATTTTACTGGTATTGTAGCAGTAAATGTACATTTTGATGATACTTTCGATGAGCTACAGTTTTATGAAACTTTTATTGATTCTTCTCTGATGAATAAAATTGTAGAAGAAACAGATATGCGAAACAGTGCAAACAGCATTGTAGGAAAATTCTCAAGAAGTAAATTTGGGGAAGAAACGACTGTGGAAAAGATGCATATATTTTTTGCCCTGACTATACTCTAGGGAATTATAAAGAAGCCTGGAATTGACCAGTACTGGAGCAAAAGACATTCCACATACACATCCTTTTTTTTCTCAAGTAATGTCTCATCGTCAATTTCTTCTTTTGCAACGGTACTTACATTTTTCAGATAATTCAGTATTTGATGCTCAAAATCACGAATTTCCAAAATTAGTGAAATTATGGCCAGTTTATAAATATCTGAATCAGAAGCTTCATTCCACGGTGACACCAGAATGTGATGTAACGATAGATGAAAGCCTTGTGCATTTCAAAGGAAAATTAGGGTGAAAGCAATTTATTTCTCTAAGAAGAGCAAGATTCAGAATAAAATGTGTCATGCTGTGCGAGACGATTTTAGTTATGTGTGTTCTATACTAATATATACAGGTAAAGACACAATTATGAAACCAGAGTTTTCTAATCCATGTATTTCCTCACAAGTTGTTATGCCAATGATGCAGCCTTTATAAAGGATACTGTCTTACAACCGATAATTACTATTCTTCACCGGAATTAGCTGACAAATTAATTTCATGTCGAACGGATACATATGGCAATCTGAACCTAAACAAAAAAGAAGTCTCAAAGGAAATGCAAAAGAAAAAACTAAAAAGAGGAGAAATTATAGCGTTTCAGAGAGGAAAAGTTACTGTGATAAAGTGGATGGACAAAAAAAAAAAAAAAAAAAAGTTTCATTATTGTCTACAATTTACAATACTGAAAATGTACAAATCCAAGTCTGCTCTGAAACAACACCGAAACATAAAATTGTTATGGATTGAAATAACACAATGGAAGGAGTAGACCACATGGACCAAAATTTGAAAAATTTTGAAATTTGTCATTAGAAAAAGAGGGAAAAATATTACAGAAAATTTTTTTTTCACATTTTTGATATTGCCATATGGAACTCATATGTAGTCTATTGTAAGAAAGGAGAAAGAAAACACAGTTACAATTCAGACTTGATCTTGTTGACAGAATTATTGAAAAATATAATTCTGGAATGAATCTCAAATGTGGACGACCTGGTCCTGAGCCTAATCCTTTGAGACTTACAGAGAGACACTTCATAGAAATTATTGCTCCAACAGAGAAGAAACTAAGACCTGTCAATGTGTTGCTTGCTGTTTCCAAAGGAATGAAAATGGAAAGAGAATCCGAAAGGAAACATGGTATTTCTGCCCTGATTGTAATATAGGACTTTGCCTAACACCATGTTTCAAACTGTACCACACAAAAAAAGGACTTCAAAAAAAAAAAAAAAAAAGTATCAGTTTTTAATATATGGTAAGTTTTTTTTTTTTTAGATAATTGTTTGTGAGATCTGTAATACAGTCTCCATTGCATGTACTCTGTGACTGAAGAAAGCAAACATTTAGGGGCATAAGTGTTAGAAATTTATAAAATTTAAAAAATGTTTAAATTCATTAATTATGAAAATTAAAAAAATTCTTTCATTTTTCTTTTATAACAAGTTTGGAATTCAGTTATATGCAATAAAAATATGCTTTTTTATGAACATTTCTGGTACAAAATTTAAGGGGTTAATACTAAACATTTTACATTTAGCATATATCTGGTTAAATAATCATATATGTAAGAAACAGCCATGCAAGTGTAACTGTAACTAAATTATGTAATCATATACACCCTAGATGAGCGCCCAGTTTGAGCGAGTGTCATGAGAAAGATAGTAGATGTATGATGTTTCATTCTTTTTTAAATCTTTTGAGGATTTTCATAGAGATATTGGAATTTTCATATATAAACAAGTTCTGAGTTCTCTATATTAAAATATTTGTTTAATAACAATCGTTATGATAATAAGTGGATAAGGAACAAAAAGCATTTTGCATTAATTTCTACCATTTTTATAGTATGAATATACATACCACTGGATGCCATTATCCAGTCTTTAGACCACCACTCATAAAGACTGAACTGAATGTATAATCTAGAAAACAAACAGTCAATATTACCAAGCTGCTTTTTCTAAAAATTACTTTACAGATATTTTGCAAATTTTAAAAGTAAAATAAATAATACTGAATAAAATTCAAAACTTACAGAGCCAGTTTACTCCAGATCCAGTTTAAGATATTTCGTAAATGGTGGAATGGCTAAAGAAAGAATATGTATGTACATATATAATGTGTATATATATATATATGTATGCATGCATATATATATATATGTATGCATGTATATATATATATATGTATGAATATATATATACATAAAAATATATAATACAAAATTATAATTTAAACTAGCAATAGCCTCTCAATTCTCCCTTTCTATTCAAGAAATAGTAATTCCTTTTTCTGGACCGCTTCATTTCTAAATCAGTTGGATAGGACACTTTTCTCCCAACTTTGTTCTCACTAAGGCGTTGTCTAATGCTTTTCTCCCTATCGCAACAATTTCTAAAATGTAATTACTCAGAAACAGTACACAATTAATATGCCTAGTGAATTGTGGCCGCAAAGCTTTTAACTACAACTGAAATAAAGATGCGTACTTAATCTGGCTTGACTGCCAAATTTGCTCTTCATTATGCATCTGTTCTATGCAATCAATATTACAAAAAGACAACAGTACGTCTTCCTGTGTTACAAAACTCCAATGGAGAAATTCATTTGTCTTCTCAAAAAGTTTCCGTGTATCAAGATTAAATTAATGCTCCATTCTTCAACATGAAATATATCTACAAAATGGATGTATTAATGTGATTAGTGGATAAATTCTACACTCAAGCTATTCTGTTTAGGGGGTTCATACACATTTTGGTGCATGGAAATTAGGCACTTTTAAGGACTTCTAAGGACCACCAATGAAAAAATTAAGGACTTAGCAAGCAAATAGGAACTGAATGAACTACAGCAATCATCTACATTTGAACTTCACCTTTGTAATACCACTTTTGTAAGAATAAAATAAATCTGTAAATGAGATGCATTATTATAACATATAATCTAATCTTTAACTTAATTATAAAACAAACTCAAAAATAAAATTAATTTCATATTTTTGTCAGGTAATTAGCATTAAATTATTAAATTTCTTGAAACATTTACATTTTACACTTATAGCAGTCCTACATATTTTAAAGATTAGTGACTTTTATTTCAATTTTACCAGTACTTAGCTTTATTGATTCTTTCTTTAATGCCTCATTTTGTCATCTACTTACTCAGTCCAGAGTTTTATGCAAATTTTATATAAAGAAGGCAATAACTCATCTTAACACGTAGAAATAAATTCTGAGGGTGAGCTGGTACAAATGTTTAAATTACACAGTTAATCAATAGATTACATGGTTATAATTAGAATTCTTTTATTTCTAAAAAAGATCTATACAAATATAAAAAATATCTTATACAAAATGATAAAGAAATGTGTTTTGAGTAACAACATGGAAGATATAAAAAGTGTAACTTCCAGCATTATTGCGATGAATATTAAAAAACATTAATAATTTAAAAATTAAATAACTGTAATGAAATTCAATATGTGTAATGCAGTTAAAAAGTAAAGCGGGTGAGAAGAAAATAATTTCATGTTATGGTAGATGATTGTTTTAATTACGTAATAAATGATTATCTGTTAAGTATAGAGTATGTTGAGGGAGGACTGTTTCAAAACAGAGGGCTTGTTTTTACCTCTGTTATTTGTTCATTTTACAATCTTCATGCTATATAAGTTTGAAGGCTCCCACTTATTAATTTTTAATATATAATTATTTTGTTTTTTATATATAATAGAATGTGGTTATTTTTTTTATGGAATATTGTAATGCCGTTCAGAAAGGCCAACTGCCTTTATCAGGAATAGAGGTCCTAATGAGTAACATTTGTTAATGTGGACTAGTCCAACAGAAATATTTGTTTTTAGATAAAGCTCAAGAGGTCTTTCATTAGAAATGCAATAATAACAATAAAAAAAGTAATTTCAGTAATACTAACTATAAAGTTATATGCTAAAATATAATAATAAAAATTTGTTTGTTAGGAAGATTTTGAAATTTTTTATGATTATTCAAAATAAGTATGTGTATAAAGTATAATAAATGGGTCCATAAAGTTTTTATAACTGTGATAGTGTGTGTAATGTTTTGAAAAGCCTTTCTTGGAAAAATGCAATTATATGGACTGTAAAATATAAAGACTTTTGAAATGAGAATTTTTATAGGATTTAAATATTACCAATGTTTACCTTTTAATTATTTAAACAATTATTTTGGACAAATTTTATGATTTTTATCTTGCAAGATTTGTATTTTTTTAATTATATTATTTCTTTTCATTTGCTGATGCTTTAACACTTTATCTCTTAAAAAGACCTGTAGCAAGACTTTTTCTCTTTGAAGGGTGGGATATGTACCATAAAATATGTAAATCCCAATTATAATTTAAAATAGCAATAGCCTCTTAATTCCCCTTCTCAATCCTAAAAATAGAAATGCCTTTTCCTGGACTGCATCATTTTTACATCAATCTAAACTGGTGTACAAAACTTAAGCAACAATGTAAAAATTTAGCAGATAGCCATGAAATTGCAGAAAAGGAGGTCTGGAGATCAGTACAATGAACACGTAAGTCAGTAGAAACGTCATGCATATGCAAATATCAGGAAGGAAATGTCAGAAGCAACGTGAGCATACACAAAACACGTGATGTCGGCGCGCGCAGCTCAACAGTAGAATAAAAGGAAGGACAAAGATGCAATTCAACATATTCGCTGCAAGTGCAAGTGAGTCAGTTCGTGAAATATGGCTAGAAGAAATCACCTGGATGACTTCATACATGGAAGAATGATCGGAAAGCTGGAGGAAGGGCATACTGTCACCAGTGTAGCTGCAGAGTTCGGAATCAACAAAAGTGTCGTTTCGCGTGCTTGGAAAGTATTCCAAACCACAGGTACAGCTGTTAGAAAGGTTGATGGTTGCCGCCCGAGGACGACAACTGCAAGGGATGACCGATATAATGTCCTGCAGGCGAAAAGAGGCCAACAGCAGTCAGCAAGCACCCTTGCTCAGCAACCCTGTACAGGAACGGGCGACAAGTGTCGCGATTTACTGTGGCCAGACGCCTTCACAAAGGGGGCCTATTAGCCAATCGTCCTGAACGCTGCCTCCTGTTGAAAGTTGGCCACCAACGCCACCATTTACAGTGGTGCAGAGAGCAAAAAAACTGGACAACTGATCAATGGAGTCGTGTCCTCTTTACGGTTGAGATTCAGTTCAGTACCAGAAGCAATTCTCAATGTGTTTAGATTTGGAGAGAGGTCGGGACCTGGTTTTATCCCAGTAACGTCAAGGAAAGACACCGTAACGGTGGTCCTGGAGTTCTTGTCTGGGGAGGCATTATGCTGAACGGGTGAACTGAGCTCCACGTTTTCAACAGAGGGTCTGTAACTGGGGATCGCTATTGTCAGGAGGTACTTTTCCCCCATGTGCGTCTGTTCCGAGGTGCCATTGGCCCAGACTTAATTTTTATGGATGACAATGCACGGCCACATCGAACTCTTGCTGTTGAGGAGCTACTGAAAAGTGAAAATATCACTCGAATGTATTGGCTAGCGTACTCCCCAGATTTAATCCCATCGAACAAGTGTGGGATGCTTTGCGGAGATGCATTGCAGCACGCTTTCATCCTCCGAAGAACACCCAACAACTCAAACAGATGCTGATTGAGGAATGGGCACTTCAACCGCAAGAAATATTGCACCAGCTGGTTCTGAATATGTGGAGATGGTGCAAAGCAACCATTGCACTGAGGGGAGGGCATATCCATATTAAGGAACATCTGCTTGTTGTTCATCCTCTTTGACAGACAATCATGAGTCACGATACTATGCACTCAATAAAGCTTATTTTTGTTTGATTCCATACCGTATGCATTGTTATCCTTTACGTACATAATACTCTCCTTCATTTCTGCATTTCATATGTCTCAGTTGATTTCTCGTGGAGTTATGGCAAAAACCCTGCTGTTGCTTAAGTTTTGCACACCAGTGTATTATCATATGACTTGCATAGCACTGATGATGTAGCTAATTCAGAACTTGAACTCAAAATTTTGAGAACTGAAACTTTTCTCTTGGTGAGCTGCCATATTGGATAACTATACACTTCGTTAACTCACTAAGGCGTTGTTTGATGGTTTGTTTCCTATCACAACAATTTCTAAAATGTTAACTACTCTGAAACAGGCACAATTAATATGCTTAATGAATTGTGGCCACAAAGATTTTAAGTACAATTGAAATAAAGATGAGTATTTAATCTGCCTCGAGTGTCAAATTTCCTCTTCGTTATGGATCAACATCTGGTCTATGCAATTAACATTGCAGTCTTTTTTCATTACATATAAACAAATAAATAAAGGTAAGGAAAGACTATTAAGAATCCTGCACAAGGGGCTGCAATGATTTAATTAAACATAATTTTAATTAAAGAGGAATGCTATTAAAATTCCTATATTTCAAATTAAAATTAAGAAAGCCAATAAAGTAAAATAATTACAATTTGAAGTCTAAATAAATTCCAATTTACAAATTCGTAATTTTTAATTAATGTTTTTACAAAATTTTAAATTTTAAAAAGTTTTAGAAAATTTTTTAAAAGTGTCTAAAAAATATTTACTTTTGACAGTGAATCTTGAGTTCTATGCACTAAATATAATTTATTCAGAATTTACACTATATACAATAAAAAGTTAAAAAGTACATACACTTAGCAGAAGAGGAGCAAAACCATACGATGGATCAACCTCCAAGCATACTGCTTGGTAATCATAGACATGGACCCTAGCAATAAAGTATAAAGCTTAATATTGAAAACTGAACTTTTCACACTCTTTCTTGTTATATTTTAGATGAGTTTTCAATGAATGCAAAACTAAACTTACCTTTTATATATCCCAATTTCTATCATAGAATCAAATAACGTATAATCTATCTCTCCAAAGAATTTTCCTGTCTAAAACATAAATAGACATTTAATTTAAAGAAAGACTGAAAAGATTAAAACAATGCTTTCATTGCTGAAAATTCAACCAAACCCTAATAAAATATTGTGATTTAAATGAACTCACATGTTCTCGTTTTTCAGAAACAATTATGAATCCATTATTATCCAAGAGAAAGCAATCTAACTCCTTAAACAAAAGATAAAAAATAGTTAGAGGTAATTTTGATTAAAAATTCTAAACAATAATTGAAATTCAGAAGGAAACAAATAAATAAATACACAAACCTCATCCCTGCATTTATATGTACAAGTTTGCATACACTAAAAGGAATAAAAACAATTACAACAAATTAATAAACTTGCAAGACATTGCCATATAGAGAGTAAATAATTTTCATAACAAATTAACAATTAAAAAAATATAATCCCCTAAAACGAAGGTAATTTTTGACAATTTGCAATACAATATTTTCTTCACTTTATATATTACTTCTCCCTTATACAAGAATAATTCAAGGGGATACATTTTCTTTTTCATTTCAGAAAAAAGTTACTCAGAAGAAAAAGAAGTTACCATTCTTTAATAAATGTGTTGATGAGAATATAAATTTCTGTTTCAGAATATTTTGAAGTTTATGAAAAGCAGTTTTAGACTGAATGGGATTTAGCAGATTTTAGCAAAGCATAATTGGACTACGGGATGCTTTAACTACTTGAGTGTTCATTCCATATTGATTCTAATTACTCTGCTATTTTTCATAGTGCACTTTTTCTCTATTTGGGCACTGAAGCTTTATATACTGTTTTTATACCTTGTAAAAATGCATTTTGATTTTGGACCAGAAAATTGTAAAAAAGTAAAGAATTATTTGATTAACAGATTGGTTTTTATTAGTCTGCTGAATTACAAGTTAATAGCAGAAAAATTTTACATAAAGTTATTGACATCAATGCTTATTCAGTACACAACTTATCATCACTGTCAGAATTCCCATCCACACATTAGGGCAGCACAGATGGACGTCATATAATGTACCCCCCTAAAGTACACATTAGCTTAAAGCGCAGTTTTCCCAAATGTATCAGTTCATCTTCATTGTAGACAGTCTTGTTTTAAAAGGTTTCTTTTGCGGTTCTTTATCTTAAAGGTGACTTAGTATACCATCTGGGTTTAAGGCTCCTTTGTTAGGAACTAGAAATGATACGATTTGAAACCTTCATACCACTTTGTTCATTAATGAATGGGAAGAATTGAAATTGTTGTAAATCTCAAATGGAATTTCAGATGTTTCATTTTTTTTAAAGAAACAGGTGAGTGTAGGACTGTGCATTATAAGGGTAAATATGCATGTCCCATATGCAGTGTCAACATTCTTTCACTTTTGGTTTTATTTGTTACAATGCAACCACTGGTATTTCTGTTGGTGGCGGGCCACCACTGTATAAGATACACCCAGTCTTTAGACACAAATTTTTTTTAAAAAAGTGCATCTTATAAACCACAAAATACAATATATAAATAATCTTTTAAAATTTTACTTTGTTCAATGCAACCTTCGCTTCTAAATGAAAACTGTAGGAATTTTTAAACTCTACTTTATTGTATTAACTAAAACAATATGCCTTTTGAAATTATGCAACATTTAATTGCCTCATTATCTTGAACATCTACTTTACTATTTTTATTAGTTAGCTAATTTGGTACTTTCTGATTAACCACACCCTTTAAAAGTATTCGTGAGGTAACATGCTATATCACCAAAAGAGGTAATCTATGACATTTCCAAAATGTACCGTAATTTCTGGTAGATAAGCCACAGCTTATTTAAAAGTTGAAAATTTAGGTCAGTGGCGTATCTGAGGGAATTTTATTTCTCCTCTGTCCTTAAAACTTCGCTAGTTCAGATTGTAAGTGATGCCGAAGGGAAGCGGTATCTGAGGTTACTCACATTGCACTAAGGCAGTGCAATGAGTCCAAACTCCCCTAAGGTAGGTGGCACTCTCTGTAAAGATACTGTAATGCATGTACTTTCTCTTAAACTCCATGGTTTTTCCCGTGTTTTCCTATGACTTTTTATTTTAATGGAAACAGCTACATTTACTTGCCAAGTGCTGTGTTCATTCTTACATATTTTTACTGCTTTGTAGCTTGCTTTTTGTTTGCCTTATCATTTGCGCTTTAAAAATATTATTATGGATCCTACTCGAGCAGCAGTACCTACAGTACAGCTGCTTTTAAGCTTTCGGCAGTGAAGAAAGCCATCGAAATTGGAAATCACGCAGTGGCTAAAGAATTTCAAGTTGACAAGAAATGGTGGTGGAAGTCTGAACAAAAAGAATTAGAGAAAAATGCCTAAGAATAAAACTGGAGTCATAGCTTGGGAAGAAAATTTAGAGAAATGGACAATAGAGCAGAGAGAAAGTGCATTATCAGTATCAAAAGTTGGAATTCACATTCAAGCAAAGGTAACTGCTCAACAAATGGGCATTAAAAATTTTGTTAGAGGACCTAATTGGTGTTTCAGGTTCATGAAGCAAAAGATATTATCTGTCCAGACCAAAACAACAGTTGGACAAAAGCTTCCCCATGGACTGGCTTGAAAAAAAACATAGCTTTTTTGGAGTACACATCTAAGAAAATTACAGAACAGAATTTGAAAAGCGGGCAAATAATTAATATGGCTTAAGTGCCCATTACTTTTGGCTCTCCTCTGAGCAGAACTTTTCATTCAATAGGTGAAAAAAACTTATTATTATAATTTCATTGTTAATAACCAGGTTATTTCATTGTTAATAACCAAGAATGAAAAGACCTCTTTTACTTGTGTTTTGGGTTGCACTGCCAATGGAGAAAAGTTAACTCCTTTGATTATTAAAAAAAAAAAAAAAAAAAAAAAAAAAAAACCCGAAAGGAAACTTCTGAAAAGGAGTTTTTACTTGTGCCAACAAGAAAGGATGGATGTGCGAAGAAAGTGATGTTGTTTTGGCTGAGAGAAATTTATCGGAAAAGAAAAGCTGTTTTTTCTCAACTCCAAAATTTCTGGATTCAGTGCGATCCCATTTAGCGGATATGGTTAAGATATGAAGCAAAAAAACTTAGCACCGATGTTTCAGTGATACCAGGTGGGCTTACAAAAATTTTACAGCCGTTAGAACTCACTATCAGTAGAACTTTCAAGCATGAACTACGAAAGCAGTGGGAGGAATGTGTGTAAAGTGGACTCCATTCCTTCACGAATTCCAGATGAATGAGAAAAGCTTCGTATGACAGGGCTGTTTTGGCCTCCTCGGTGATTGCGGTGATTTGTGCCCAGAGGGCGCACCGCACAAAAAGTTAGTTGCGTTACAGAACGTAAGGGAAGCGGACACGCCAAAATGTCGGGCGTATTACCGCTAATTGAGGTAATTGCATCGTATCTGTCAGGTGGCAGAAAACTAGTATGATGTATCAATTCACATGCCAGGTGGCAGAATATGTCTATCATGTACATGCCAGGAGGCATAACGCTTGTAAATATGCCAGGTGGCATATGACTTGTAAATAAATTGTAAATAAATGTACAGTAAAATATCTTGGATGCAATAGATCAAGGAACACGCATCAACAACAACCTTCTGATCATTTGGATACGTACATTTTTTTCTGGTGACCCGGACGTGATTTGTGGAGATGAAGAATGGACGAAGAAAATTAGTGAGTTCATGACTGAAAAGCCAGGATTTAACGCGAAGAAATTCGAGGTAGGCTCTTTTTCATTTTTCCAGTTTTGAATAGAATTGTTGAATAAAAATCTTGGTGATTATTATAGTTGATAGAATCTAATGGTAAAATGGAGGCTATGAATAAGGCAAAGAAGTTGCGTACGGTGACGCATAGCTTAACTACTAAGTTGATGAGTAAAATAGATTCTGCATTGTTAGAAGAGGGTGAAACCGCGGATGAGAAATTAAAAGAATTACTCGAAATGTTACTTGAAAAATCGCAGTTGTTGTTGAAACAATACGATTCTGAGATTGAAAAACTTATAATTACGGAACAGGAGTTGGAAACAGAAGTAATTTCCGCGCAGGAATATCAGGAAAGAATTATAAGTTTTAAATGTAAAATTCAGGAAAAATTAAGAAAAAAAAACGCGTGTAAAGTTGAATCTAGAAATTCTAGTGAGGAAACTATATCTCCGAAGTTGAAAACTTGTGAAGTTAATACTTTAAAATTGGCAAAATTAACGATTACAAAATATTACGGTGATCCTTGTTCTTGGCTTGAATTCTGGAATCAGTTTTAGTAATTCCATTCACCAAAACGAAAGTCTCAGTTCGGTTGACAAGTTTTGTTATTTAAAATCGCTTTTGGGAGTTTAGCTTTGAAATGCTATTAGTGGATTAACTTTTACTAGTGAAAAACTATACGGTGGCTGTTGATATACTAAAAAACCGTTTCGGCAGAGATGACCTGCTAATTAATGCGCATATGAATAAATTGTTGAGTTTAGAACCTGTAAAATATTCCGGAAATACGGCTTCTTTGAGGAAGCTTTATGACGATATAGAAATACAAATAAGGAATTTAAATTCTTTAAATGTTACTAGTGGTTCTTATGGACATTTATTATCCCTATTTTGTTAAAGTTAATACCCGAGAATTTAACTCTAGAATTCACTAGGAAAAGAAGTGATAAACAAAATTTCGATGTTAATGAACTACTAACGTTCTTGAAAACTGAAGTGGAATGTAGGGAAACATCAATGATGTTAGCGCGTTCTAAGAATTTTGATGTAAATGAAACATCAATACGAAACAAAAGTTCCCATCAAGGTTATCAAAATAAATCTTACATGCATTCTAAAAGAAATATTTACAGTACGAATAAGCAAGGTGCTTCGGTATTAACTAGTCAAAGCGAAACTCCCTCTAAATACTTTCAAAAATCACATTTTAATCCAAATCGAAAGTTCTCTACCCCGCCTAAGAAAGAGAATCAAAATGTCTGCATATTTTGTTTATCTGCTTGTCATATGAATCATGATTGCGCACTTGATTTAAAGGCTCGCCGAAAGGCATTAATGGATCGAGGTTTATGTTTTATTTGCTTTTCGAAAGGGCATCCAAGGCGTTTCTGTGCTCATAAAGATGAAAAATGCAGACCGTGCAATGTCCAAGGTTTACATAATTCATTAATATGTGACGCCGCATCGACAGGTTTAGAGACGGATACTTCCAATCAGACAAAACAAACGCCAATCCCTGAAGCTTCTCTTTTGCTCTTATGTAATGAAAATAATAACAAAATTAAACTACCGACTTCCGTTCTTTTACAGAC